TACAGTATGTGGAAAATAATGTGTTTTTTTAACTTTAAACCGCATAAACACATTTCATTACACCAAATACACAAAATAATGTTCTTTTTAGCAGCATCATATGACCCCTTTAAGCTAACGGAGACTTGTTATAGCACTTGCATATCATTGCTCTTTTGTTGATTTTTTGGTCGCTTCCATTGTCCTCATTTGTAAGTCGCTTTGGATAAAAGCATCTGCTAAATGACTAAATGTAAAGGTAAATGTCTTGATAAAGTATATATACTGTACAATGCAAGTGGACTGCTGTATATGAAGCATTACAGTAAGTATAACAGCACACATTACATGTTTAGGACAAAAAAGTCTAATAGAAATGTATAGACAATATCCTTGATAGTTCAAGCATTTTGCATTTGACTTATGCAAGGAACTAATGCCTAGTGTTTACATAATCACAATCAGTGTTGGTTTACATAATCAAGAGCATGAATGTACCAAAGCATTTGCAATTTGTTCATGATGCCAACAAGTGACTAGATCATGTGGAGGTTGAACAAGTAGTTGATCTGAGAAATGTAGAGTTACCAAAGCGACTGAGAAAAACTGTAGAAGAGCAGCCTCACTAATTTTTGAAGCACCCTCAGTGATTTGATTCTGGGACCGCACCTCTCATGCATGCATTCATTCATTCATTCATTCAAAATACGTCTATATTTTGTGAATGATTTTTTTTAACCAACACTGTGTCTGCGCTTTAGTACCGTGCGCCTTTAAGGAAACTCGTCACTCTTTTCACAACGACGGAGATCATGTCCCAGCATGCATTACGGCGCTTCAATAATAGTAACCCACGGCTGATATTTCCATGCGACTATGTGTGTTCAGAAAATATAATTTTTTTTGCATGCTCCGCTTAAAGTTTTTGCCTGTTTTTCGGACTTACATTTTCAATATCCACGGTTCCTGTTCTTGTTTAAATATCTGAAGCGCTGAATTTATGAAGATGCAACAATCACAGCGCGTGCTGCTGTAGTCTGATACACTGCTCATATCTGACACTTCTGCTCAGTGCTTGCTTTGAGGGATGTGGCGGGAGCTTGAGTTTCTGCATGAAGCTACTGGAGAAACCCTCGCAAATTATCTCATAACCTTAACTTGACATATCTTAGTGAATCTGTGAAGATGGTGAACGCTCGTGCGCTCGTTATTCTGACCTTCATCTGCAGTTTGACAGACGCGGCCAAACTCAATATACCTAAAGTTTTATTACCTCTTGCCAGAAGCACGAAGATTAATTTTACACTGGAAGCAACTGAAGGATGTTATCGATGGTAAGTACACTGAATATAGCATATACTTACAGAGTAATTAAGAAATACTGCTACATTCAGAATGTAATAAAGCACACCTTATATAGTTTGCCTGGTTAATAAGATGCTTTGTAATATCAAACATGTTGTGCGTGACAGGTCAAATGAGAAAGTACAGTACCACAAACTACAGTAGCGAAAGGAACATGGTGGATACCTTAAGAATTTTTGATAAAGTAGCAATAAAACTGTAAAGCTGAATGCAGAACGCTGAAGCACGTGGTGCTGTTATGAGGAAGGCTGTGGTGTTTGATCCGCTGTAGCACTTCAGATCTCACTTTTTGGTCCCACTTTATATTAGGTGACCTTAACTAGTACTTACATTTAAATTGATCATTTGATACAATGCACTTATTGTGTACATACATGTTTTTACATTGTAAAAAACACCTGCATGTGATTACATCTGTAATTAATTTCTGTAATTACATTTATAATTTTACTGTTGACCCATTCCTACACCTTAAACCACCCTTAAATCTACCCAGACCACCAAACCTGTACCTAACCTCACCCGCGCATCCCACCTCAACAGCAGCAGAACAATATATGAACACAATAAGTACATTGCACTTATTTTTTGATGTAAGTAGTTAAGGCCACCTAATATAAAGTGGGATCCACTTTTTTAAATGTCTTGTAAATGCATGCTTTGTAGATTAGACTATTTATTTTATTGATCAAACCACAAGAGTTGCATTTCATTTAAACTATATTGTACCCGTTTTTGCTCAGCTGCATCACCCACTCTTTATTCACATCAGTTTATTTTTTAATATAGGTCATTATTAATACCAGTTCGTAAGTTTTACTGTGCTTGCAAGTTTCCAAGGAAAGCACAATGGTATGCCCTGAATGCATATTTAACCCAGTAACATCCTGTCGGGCTGCATGCATTTCTAAAACCCAAGGTCACTTCACAGAGCACTGTAAACCAATAGGAAACTGTGTTGGGGAGTTACTAGTTACATGTAACGGAATTACATAACATAACTACAAAATAAATGTTACTGTAATCAGTTACAGTTACTGAGAAAAAATTTGTAATTACAGTTACTTATGAAAATGTTAATGATTACGAAGGGGTTACATCTGAATATTTTCACACACATACAGATATGATTTGATTTCTTTCCGAAATTGCTTTAAAATATGAGACGCCAGTGTTTCAGGAGTTTAGGACACATAATAGACACATGTTTATTCGATAACAGTTTTATTTCCTATTTGGGTTTATGTAGATGCTTTATTTTTTTTCAGATTAAAGGCATTATTAGATGCCAGTGTTTCCTGTCATATCTATGCAAAGAAGTGATTTCGAAAACTGTATCAAAGCTATTAAACTAGATCTTGTGATCCGTATTTAACCTCAGAATGATCTCAAAGTAAAACGAGGTGCTAAAGTCTGATTTTGTGGTGGCTGTGCTTTCGAATTAAATGTTTTATGGTGCTAATTCAAGTGAGGAAGTCTTTCAAAAGTCTACTGTAAGGTTACCTGCAATTAACAGTTGAAAGCATTTGTTAGGAATTTAGTAAAGTCATCAAATGTAATCAGTTACGTTACTTTATTCAAGTAACTGAAATAGGGTAACCAGTTACATTTCCACAGCACCCTTCGCAGCACTGCTAGTAGGTGAAGTGTGTTGTCTCCGCAGGTCGTCTAACAGGCCGGAGGTGGCCAGTATAGAGGCAGTGGATGTGGATGAGCGTCAGTGCTCTCATAAAGCAGTTCTGCAGGCGCGCTCCACTCAGCCGTCCAGACTCACCAGCATCATACTCGCCGAGGACATCTGTGAGTGCCGCTGACTGCTGGTGTAGCTTCATCATTCGATGCTCGCTTGTAATCTTCTTCTTATTGATAACCGCAAAGGCAGTTTGTCATATGCACTCTGATATCAGTTGTTGGCATTATTACCCCACACTCAAAGAGACGCTTTCGTTTACCCAAAATTAGACCCAGATTTACTATCAGTTTGCATCAGCGCAAACCTTAAAACTACCGTGATGATTTACTAAAGACACGCGGTGGGAGAAATTAGCGATGAAAAGTTATTTTTGCGACTCACCTTATTGAATATGCATTTGTAGGAGTTTTCCTTTCGATCAGTAAATTTATGGGAGGAGAGTATTTAAATGAAGATTTTGATTTACGCTTAAACTTGTGCCTGTATTCGGTAATGCGATATATCACGGTAATGAATATGCACGATATTGTTATCGTCTTCTGTAGCAAATGCAACTATTGCTCATTGTGAGTGTTAATGCATTAACTAAGGTTAACTAATGAGGTCTTATTGTAAAGTGATACCTATTGGTCTTTATAGTTCTTTTGCATTTTAATCTGTGTAAAACTTTTAACTTTATACATTTTTCTGTATTGCTTTATTGCATTTAAATGTTCAGTTATTTTTGTTATAAGAAAAAAGTTATTAAACCTGTTATACTGTATTATGACAGCACTTTTTTTTAAACTTAATTTCAATATCGTGATAATACCGTATACCGTAATAAAAGCATTAGCAATTAATCACAACATGAAAATTTGATACCGGCATATCCCTATTTGCGCTCGTCAGTTCACTGGTATTTGCGACGTTATTTAACGCCCCCCAAAAAGCATGTCTTAAAGCAGGCGGTAATTTGCGCTGCTCTTGGTAGATTGCGCTGGTCATTATGGAAATGATCTGACTGCGTCTGTGTTCTTTTAATGTGTGCATTGTCAGTAAATCACCCGCAGAATTTTCCCTCCCATCGGAATTGTGCTCTAACGCTAATTTGCCCTGTTTAGTAAATCTGGCCCTAAAAATGGTCATCTCTTGTATTGTTCCACACCTGTATGACTTTCTAGGAACACAAAAAGAGAATCTACAGAGTTGTTCTTTTACAGTGAGGATGTGCATTAGTACCATTAATGTATAAAAATAGTCTGAATGACTTGTGTGCTATATTACAAGCCATCTAAAATATATTATATAACTTCAAGTGGCTTTTAATTTAAATGTTTATTTGTTGATAATTGTCCACTGCTCCTCATTCAGGCCGGTTTTGTGAGCTGGATCCACCTCAACTCAAAACAACAATCTGTTCACAACTTAACTCGAACGCCAAAAAGCTGCTAACAAACTTTCATGAATAATAACATGAATTTCTGTCTGTTCCTCACAACACTTGAAATATAGTTGTACAGACCACTTTAATGGTGCTCTTTTGTCATCTGAGCTTGACAGCTCCAGCCTTCATTCACTTTCATTATATTGAGAAGACCGTGATGTAAAGAAATCACTTTTTGTGTTACAGTAGAGAGTAAATGGCAGTCTTTTCTTTAAGTTCAGTAAACAGTGAAATCTGCATCAGCTTGATCTGCAGTGAGATGGATAATAAAGCAATAAGCCCCGTGAAGCCGTGGTTTACAGTCAATTTATAACAGCTAAGGGACATTGAATGAG